GAAAGATCTGACTTTGGCACTCGTTTCTGAAAGGTAGGCAGGACCAGTTTCAGGTACAGCACATGAATGTAATTAGTTTCATGTTTCATGTTTTGTAACTGATACTGTTCATGTCTTTCAAATATTTCTATTATTTATTGTATCAAAGACAGAATGTTGAGCTGTAAAGATTATTAGGACTCTATGCATTTTTTCAGCTAAAATGGACAACTTTATAGTTATGACACCTTATAAGAAAAGGACCTGATAGGCTCAGCATATGTAGTAAAATATCTTGTGAGAGATCAACATTCAGGTTTCTGTTTTACTGGTTTTATTGGGATATTGTCTGTATTGGGATACTATCTTAATTTTAAAATATTTTCCCAGCTCCATTTGCAAATAGTTATGAAAAAGACGTTACTCTTCTTTGACTTTTTCCATACCTATTTTTTTCAGCATAACTGTAGTTTCCTAACAAACTCTACTAAGGTCTCCATATGATTGATGTCATACTAGTCACCTCTTGCTGGAGGAACCCATTAGCAGAATTTTGCTGCTGACAAAAAGTCTACGAATAAGATTATGTCTGAAACAACAAGATACAATTATTACTGGGTGATGCTTTGCATTAAAATGTGTGGAATACTACTTTGAAACTTTGAAAACCACTTAGCTCTTGCCTATCTCAGCAATTTTGTTTGCTTATTTTTGTAGCAATTATGGGCATTTTCATTTCAGTGATAAATATAAAACACATAGAAACTACTGAAATTATGTCAGTGCAATATATAAAGCACATTAATATACATGCTTATTTTAGGACAAACAATTCAACATTCATCTTAAAAAAGAGATATTTGTTGAGTGGTCAGCAACACAGTATTTATTTCATTCAGTGAGATATTGAAAAGACCAGGAATATGTATTCATAATAGTTAAGACAAACAGCATCTGCATTCAAAAATATTGTTTTACTTTTATGAAAATATAAGCCAATATGTTGTGAATTTCAGGAAAATTAAGTGCAAAATTAAAGTGAAAAAAGACTATGTTCTTCACACAGACCAAAAACAGTGTAGACAGTATAGAAGCACAGAGGAATACAAAAATAGGAATTTGTATGGATAATAAAATCATTTAAAATTGCATCAAATAGAATCAGAAGGCAACCTTTTATTTAATTGCAGCTGGTTACGTCATTGTGCATTAAAAGTATTTTAAAGCATTCTGAAACCATTTGATTATCATAAATCACACTGAGGTAAATTGGACCATGTTTAGGATTTTATGGAAATAAACTCATACTTGAGTTTTGTAAAATTAGACAAAGAACCAATGTTCTTGTTTTAAAAAGTTTATCTTAGCTTTCTTTTGTCTTGCTGTGTCTTCATGGAGCACAGGCTCTACTGAAGATCCTGGATGCTTATTCTTTTTCTGCTCAGAATGCTGGAATCAGAGTTAGTTTGCTGTTGGCTTTGGAGTGTGCACAGACCTTTTAGATGTGCACACATGGAGTCCCTTACTAAATAGTCCTTCCTGGAAAACCAAGTACTACTTGGTGTCAGGAAGGAGCAAAGATGGAAAGGCAATTTGAAATTAAAAAAAAGGGGGTTAGCAGAGACTTTTTGAATGTAGTCTGGTGCTTATCATGTGACATACAAAAAAACCCCAAAAATAAAAGAAGAAAAATTAAAATCAATCTTGAGGGAACCTGCTGTGGCTCTAAAAGTTATTTCATAGAGATATAATACAAACACCAGAGATGCTTTTATGAATGTGGAATTAAGACATCTATTTTCTGAATAAACCAAATCAAACAAAGAAAAAAAAACCTAGACAACCCACCCCAAACCAAAACGAAACCCCAAACAAGCCAAATTTTTCAATCTAGAAGGGAAAAGATAGAGCATACAGTGTAATGAGAAGAGTAATTAGAGAAAAATTATTTTATTCACATTTAAAAATGCATGTTCCAGTGTCAGGTCTGATGGGCGTATCAGGATTGGTTACAGCTCTTTTAAATATGATTAAAATATAATTTTTTACAAAATTTAACTTTGCTGAACATTTTATCCACTTCATATATAAAATTACACTTAGAAAAATAAAGAAGCTACTGAATTATATTTATTCAAGGGATTCACAATGCTGATGAGAATTTTAAAACTTTTTTAACATCTTTTTTCTTTTCCAGAAAGTACTTCAGTTCTCTTTAAGTTATTTGATTTTTTTTTTTTTTTGGTGAGTAAAAAGTCCCAGGAAAAAAAATCAGTACAATTATGTAAAAATGAAAAATACCCATGTTTCTAGCCATTTTTGATATCTGTGGTACCCACAAAGAAAACACTCTTTAAAATTAATTTAGACAATTTCCGGTTTTATTACACAAAATTCATATTACACAAAGATCATATTAGTCTTGCTCTCTTTGTATCTTCATTTCAGCACACTTTTTTTTGCAACTGACATGGAGCACTCCACAGTGACAACTGATCTGGGATATCCTCAATATTGCCAACAACATGTAGCAGGCTGAAAAAATAAACTTACTTTTCTGAGGAATAAAAAAGCAATAATTTCTTGGACTGAGTTAGTGAAAGATATCAGTTGCTGAAGAAGAGAGAGTAAGTTAAAAGTTTTGAGGTAACACTTCATGTGAACAGAGCATCAAGGAAGAAAGTAATGGTACCATGAATGATACAGAAAATGAGTCAAAATCACACATTGGGAAATACTAGGAAAAGATTGATTAAAGGGTGATAGTGATAGTATACTATACACTGACAGAGTCAGATGTTTTGATATAGAAAGGCACCTTGATAGTATTTTAGATGGTTAAATATTTCTGGGAATTGTGGAAGACTTTAAATTCTTCGTAGATTTTTTTTAAAAAAAGTTGCTAATATTCAGCTGTCCCTATTATTCTCTATGTTAGTAATCTGCAGACATTTTGAGACACAGTAGTGATAAGCACTACTTTTCTACCAGTTTTATTTTTCCTATTTCCCTAAAATTCTCATGTGCAAGCATAAATCCTGGTAAAAAAAGAGAGCTTGCTTATGTGGGAGAACGCACCTATTCAAACAACAGTCCTAATGAAATGCAGCAGTGTAAACTGCTGGCAAAGTAATTCTCTCATAGCATGAATTTTCTCTATTTCAAGGTCATTCTGGTATAAAAGTCCTTTGCAGCTTGCTTGCAATATACATCTGAATGAATGTATGTTTTTTTATTAGCAAGGATTATTCTTAGTGTCACTTAAGCACATTTGTGTGTGAATAAGATTGCATAGAGTGTAAAGCCCCTGTGCTAGGCACATAGTGATGACTTTTCCCCGTCCATGACATGATGCTGTGCAGTGAAGCATCTTCTTGTCTTTGCTGCAGAGTGGGACTGTGTGAACAGCTTGGTGGGATAGATGGAGCACTGGGTGATCTCTCCTTTCCCTCTAAGTAAATCCATACCTGGAGTAGCTTTGCCTGATCTGTAGGGTAATTTTAGTAGCAGTACTTCATTTATGCTAAAGCATGTCTGATTCTAGTTGCTCAGAACTCTGATTCTAACCCACAATGTAGGGATAAATTTCTCCATATCAGAACAGAAGACGATGGAAAACATGCAAATTTAAATCACACATCTAAAGGATGGGGATGAAGAGTTATTACTTCAGAGGTACAAAATAGCTGTGCAGAGGTTAAATCAGACTTACATATTCATTATACATTGTTAAAGAGTTCCATGCAAAATTACTTTCGTCTTATTTTTGGAATGGATGTTGTACACATGGCCTCATCTAATCTTTTGTCACTTTGCAAAACAAAAGCTAATTTCAATTCTAGAAGACAGAACCATCTTCAACTACACAAGCTGCAGTTCGTAAAGAGTGCATGTACATTATAAATTTGCTTAGTTGCTCTACAGAGATGCCAATCCTAATTAGGACTTCATTGGCTTTTCCATTGAAAACAGTTAAAATTCCCTAATTAAGCATGAAAAAATTAATAAAAATTAAATTAAGACTGTGTACATAAGTAAATGATGTTTCTGCCAAATTTTAACTCACCTTTCAGCCTGGGATGGGGTTTATCCTTCCCTGCCTCAGTGCCTTATCCTTTTCAGCTTAGACAAGGATAGGGGTCTGAAGGGCAAAAATCTTGTTCTGGCAGTGTTTGTCCGTTTGCAGTTTAGACAACTACTCCATTTTGCAGGTCTCAGATTACCATGTAGTTTAGTACAATACAACTCTTGAGTATTGTAGCAGTTGATTCAGGACTTTATTTTCTGAAAATCGTGCAATCCAAAAAGGCTTCTGAAAATGGGAAGGAAAAAAACTCCAGAAGATAGGGCAGAGGACTAGTAGAAACAAAGAAACCAAATGCACAAGGTATAATGAAGTGAAGTCCTCTGAGTCTCCTGGGTCCTGGTATCTTTTTCTTCCCCCAGTTTCTATTTCCTGATGCCATGCATATTTTTCTAGTTTACCTCTCTCCATCACTCCTGAGGAATGTTTTCTATTTCAGATTTTAACTTTGTTCTTCAGTCACCTTAAAAGCATACGCAACATTAATATGTTGCATAGTAATACAGCATAGCCAGTTTCACACCTTAAACTCTCTCTGAATGCAGCAGTACAGATGAAACACTGTGTACAGCTTTTCTGTCCACCGCATGAGCTAAAAATGGTGTTGGTGTATTTTCACAGCTTCTATATAGCTGGGAATGTAAGGAACACATGAGATGTATGAGGGTTGGACTTCTAACACTTATATATTAATCTGGGTATTAGCGTTGCTACTAAAGGTAGTTTCTATAATTTATAGATGTACTGTAATGTGACTAATATTAAATTAGCTAATACTTGTGTGAGGGTTCTCTGACATATGAAAAAATGTTATCTTTATAAAATAGGTAAAGCTTAAGTGGATACATGAATGGATTTTGATTTTGTAGGTGCCTTTAGATAGTAAAAAAATGTGGAGGTTTTCTTCTGATTCTTCCATATTTTTTTATCTTGACAGTACAAACAAGTGGAACAGTACATGTCATTCCACAAGTTACCTGCTGAAATGCGCCAGAAGATCCATGATTACTATGAGCATCGCTACCAAGGCAAGATCTTTGATGAAGAAAACATTTTGAATGAGCTCAATGATCCTCTTAGGGAGGTAAGAATAAATTATTGGAGTAGCTTTTCATGGTATGGAAAACTTTCATATCTTTGCTGTTTCTGTGTTGAAATGCTCTTTCTGATTCTATTCTGTAACATTTCATCTCATTTGACCTAGTCAATGAATGACCAGGATAATTAAATTTATATTAGATTGGCACAAAGAAATAAGCAGATTTACACTCTATTCTGAACCAGTCTGTCAGAGTCACTGTCACACAAGGATGTCAAAGAGTAAAATTCCATCCTTAAGTGTTGTCAGAAACTCATGTTTTTCTGACACTTTTTGCAACAGAGTGGAGCTGGACTGGAATGGTCCTGGGTGAAATTTTTTTTGCTTTCCCTACTTACTAACCACTCACCTGTATAGATAAAACTGCTGAAAGCCACCACAGAGAGAGAGCTTCTCTGTGAAGTAGCATCCTTGGTAAAGATGTCCTTTACTTGAGATTACAAAGCTGGAATATGATATACAAGCCATTAAAAAATCTCTTTTGTTAAACCTGTAGTCTGTATTCCAGTTTTAGGGGTTATGCTATGCTATCTTATGTGATGTGATATGTGGAAGCAGTTCGAATCTTCTTTGCAAGTTGCTTGTGTGGGACAAAGGCAGCGTTCATCTTGTAGCAGAAGTAGCTGCTTCATGGGACTATAAATCAGACTCTCTTCTGTTGGGTGCAGCTCACGTCTGATCTCCTCAAGGATGTTGGCTGATATCCTCCACTGAAAGGAGGGGGGAAAAAAGCAAACAGGAGAAGAAGCAAGTTGAAAAGCTCAGAGAATAGAGAGCACGAACAGGGAAAAAAGAAAAGAAACAGGAAAAGTCTAGGGAATTACCCCTAGACTATGTGACAGTCGAAACATGAATCTTGGCCAGTATGGAGCTTGTGTTTTGTTAAGAGAACAGAAGCATGTACGGACATATCAGTCACTGACATCAGAAACAGTTTTCATCCATTTCTGCTTTTAAGGAAAGCATTTCTCCATAAGTGAAGTTGAATACTCTTCCATTGCAAAATATTATTTTACTAACAGTAATTTGCAGTTGTTGCACTGTAATTACCTGTGTGTGCCTCTTTTCCTACCTCCCTCTTTGTTTCCTCCCTTCCTCCCTCCCTTCCCTAGCCTTGTTACCTTCCCACCCTTTTTTCTTATACCTTAAAAGCAGCAAGGCAAATTTGGTCAACCATAGAAAACAAAAACCACTTCTGGAGAGAGATCAAGCATGGAAAATTTCAAAAATTAATGAGCCTCTAAAGACATGGAGGAAGAATAGGATTTCATGGAGGGAATGGCTTCTGATTTTGCTATGGTCATGCTGTACTTAGCATGTCTTCTTTGTTCTCTGTATTATAGGACAAAACATTTTTTACTCAGCTACGATCAGGTTGCGCACTACTCTGATGACAACATAGTAGTGTTCCAGAGAAAGGTCAAAAAAAAAAAGAAAGAGAAAAATAAGAACTGGACACTGGCAGTGCCAGAACAGGTTTCTCAATGAATCTGTCCAAATTTTGGTGGCAGCTCATTCACTGTGCTCCGAAAACACCCCTTGAGTGTTTGCTTAGTTAGCAGTTTCAAATTTAGCTACCACTTCAGCATGTGCAGTTCAGTCGTGCAGGTAGTGGCTTTTTGATGTTACTAATGGATAATAAATTAGAGCCTTTTAGAGGCTTTCATATATTGGATGGGATTTACTATCTTACATGCCAACAACAGCACAAGGCTCTAATAGGTGATAGCACAGATAACCTAGCTGCATCATTGAAGAATAAATATTTACTGTATTTCTTAAGTTTGTAATTAATCCTACATTCGATTATACTTGGAATTTAGCATAGGGTAAAAATTTAGAGTCTCCACAGGATGTAATTATCTTGATGAAAGTAGCTTCTGACAAAGACATTCATCTGAAACTATTATTTTCTCGCTTAGAGTAAGCAGAACAAAAGAAACCATACAACTGCTGCATAATTATAGCATCACAAAATGTTATTAAAATAGTTGCCCTGTTTTCGCTACTCCTTGCTCTCAGCCATTGAAATTTACTGTATGGGCTGAAATTTTCCACAACTAGGCTCTCTTTAGGAGTGATGACCTTTTTTTTTGGTCCACATTTTAAAATTTTGGCTCTTTTTTAGCAGAAAAGTAATTATGCATGATATAAATGTTATCATTCAACCATTAAAAATAGCTAAAGTACATACAATTAGCAGTAAAAACTGGTGTAAAAATAGTTCTTACCTTATAAATACTAGTAATAAAGCTGTATATGCTTATTAAATCACAGAATCATAGAATCACAGATGATGTTGAGTTGGAAGGTACCCTTCAGGATCATCAAGTCTAACTGCTAGCCCTGCACAGGACCGTCCCCAAGCATCACATCATGAGAGCCTGAGATCACTGTCTAAATGCTTCTTGACCTCTGTCAGGCTTGGTGCTTTGACCACTTCCCTGGGGAGCCCAGCACCCAACAACCCTCTGGGTTGAAGAACCTTTTTCCAATATCCAATCTAAACCTCCCTGACACGATTCCCTTGGGTTCTGTCACTGATCACCACAGAGAAGAGATCAGTGCCTACCCCTCCTCTTCCCTGCAGGACGAAGTTGTGACTGCAGTGAGGTTTCCCCTCAGCCTCCTCTTCTCCAGGGTGAACAGACCAAGTGACCTCAGCTGCGCCTCATACGGCTTCCCCTTAAGACCCTTCACCATCTTCGTTACCCTCCTTTGGACACTCTCTAAGAGCTTAATGTCTTTCTTATATTGCAGTACCCAAAACTCCACACACTATTCAAGGTGAGGCCACACCAGCGCAGAGCAGAGCAGAGCAGGACAATCACCTCCTTTGATAGTAGAGGTTAAGACTTTTTTGATAAAAGAGGACAGATAACTGTATGGAACATTCATAGTAGATTAAAATAATGAAAATCTGAGAAAAGATTTGATGAATATTTGATACAAAGGTGTGAGTGCCTAACATTGTTGGATGATAAAAACAGAATCATGTTTATTGTGGGGAACTAACTAGGTCTTCATAAAAGAAGGAAAAAAAGAATCCTGAACATCTTTACATTTTACAATACTCTGTCTAAGAGCTTCAAAGCTGTGTATAGCAACTAGTGGCTAACCTGTATCATTTAAGCATAATCTTGTATTAACAAACAGATTGTGTTCAATGATTGAAATCTAAGGTAGACATTTATGACACTGAAAAATTCTATATTCTGCCCAGTTTAGTTAATTGCACAATTTGGGTATATTAGTCCATTGGTAATGTAGTTAATTGGATATTTTCAGCTCTATACACTCAAACTGAATTAACCATGCACTGGAACATTTGATGTGCTACTACCTGCTCATAAGGACACAAGCTCTCTGACAAAAGTAAAGGATAAAGGTTTAATTGTATTAAATCCAGACATTTCACTCTAACTGAAAAACATATCCCCTTTTCCACAGTTAGACATTCAAATAACTGTCCAGTCTTCTCAAGAATAAAATAATCAGGAAACTCCTGGCAGTTACAATTTTGATAGAGATGAAAGATTTTAAATTGCTTCTACCAGGCCATGCAGGGTTGGATTCATCAAACCAATCTGTAGCTCCATGCAAGTTCTGCAACAAGTCTGAGATAATCATCAGGATCTCTCTGCACATACCACCCACACACATATGCTCTCATGATAAAGAAAACCTAGCTGACTAGCTTAGGAAAAAGGCTACATCTTCAAACAGCATGAAATAAATTGTTGACATGTGAAATAAATTGTCTTTAATAGCATTTACAATAAATTCTGTCCTTAATAGCCTTTGCAATTAACTCTGTCTCTGCCTCATTTCTTGATGTAGTGATTAGAAATTGGTAACAATTGGCATGTTTCCCTTATATAAATACCATCTCTGATTCTTCAGCAGACAGGGGTACTAAAGTTCACATTTTTTAACTCTGAATTCTTACAACATACATGCTTGAACATCATTTGGCCTCAGAAGGCCTTAGTCCTAAAAGGGGTCTTTGTAACTGTCATGACATGAAATGGAGATGGTACAGACAACACAGAAAGAAAAACAAAAACCAAACTCAACAAAAACTCCATATAGATAAGACAAAAGTATTCCAAAAGAAAACCTGAAGTATAAAAGTTTGAATACATATACATAACCAGTTTCATCTTGTAAGAAATTTCAAAGTGGCTCAGCTCTGGCATTTGTCTAAGCCACCAGCCTCACTAGCAGTGGCTGTAAATGGAGGTCCACAGAAGAAGAACAGGGTATCTGTTAATGACTCCCCTAGACTCACAGTATTTTCAGGTTAAGGGATACTCTGAGACTGATGTGATTTGATTACAGGGTAATCCTTAATACACATCTCTTCCAATTACTTATTTGCATTCTTGAATCTACACACTCTCTGCAACCACACCATCCTTTGTCAAGGAGCACAGACCTCTATCTTACTGCATGAGAAACCACCTCTTTCTTGTAGGATTGAACATGGCTCTGACTGTTTTATGGTTCTGATGGCCATTAATTCTTGTAGCAAAAGTGATAGTACAGTCAATTCCTACCCACTATTTGCATGACAGTTATGATTTTATAGACTTACATGATAACATCCTTAACTGTGATTTTTTTGATGGTAAAGAGATATACTTTATTTAATTCTTTCCTGCATGAAGCTAGCTTACCCTTATGATCATCCTTCTTGCCATTCTCAATGTAGAGAAATTATTTTGTTTTTTCAAAATCAATTTTAAAATTACCAAAACCTTGGTATTTTTCCCTAGTTTTAGACCTTCTCCTTTTTCCCATTAATTTCCCTTCTCCCTTATTTCCCATACCTCCTTTTTTAATATCATTTCTTTTATTTAGTATTTATCTTTAGAAATCATGAAATAATATATTCTCTCATTTTGACTAAATTATAATCCTGTGCTCAAAAGATGAAGCATCTCCGAAATAATAGTATGAGGCCAAAATATGGTGTATGGACT